ATAATTTGATAATGTCAGTAATCTTAGTAAATCTCAGTAGCTGATTTAAATTTATACTGAGAAAAAAATATTTAAAAATTTATTTATGGGATATGAAGTTTATTTCTGTGAATAAACTGTATATCTCACAAATAAATAAAATAAATATCCAACAAATAAATAAAAATCAAATATTTTTTTTAGTGTAGCTAAAAGATTAATCGTTTTGTTGTCATTGCTAAGAGTTAGATAAGAGCTAGCACAGATAAAATGCATTTCCGTTGTGAGAAACCAATTTATTAGTTGAAGTTAAAAGCGCACGTTTGTCGAATAGAAAGTGGCAGCTATTTTTGAATATCTTGTGCGAGTAAATCTCGAGTATTCGAATTGTAAGAAATCAATCTTACAGAGTGCATTGATTGACCAATTTTCTTCTATCAATATCTCAACAATAATACCGAGTAGGCGTGTCGAAGAGGTTTCTTTTTTATAGCGCTGTTGATTTATGCGCGTGTTATAGTTGCGGCATTGATATTAGAGGATCGATTATATATTAATACAACGTGATGCAAAATTGCAAAAGCGAGCAAACTTACTTAAGTGTTGATCAATGAAATTGCAAATCTTCTATTAAATTAAATTAAATTCTATTAAATTTTTCTATTAAATTAAATTATTTTAAAGTTTATTGTAAATTTTCTATTATAAATTCGTTCACTTTTGTAATTTTTTGTAATTTTCAATTAATGTGTGTTAGTATACAATCGACCACCACCAGGTTTGGGCTTGAAATTGATGCGCATGCACTTGTCGGGCCGTCGCACTTACCTTTAAAGCGAGGTGAACGACCGCGCGCTGGCAGCGAGCAAGTGGGGGAGGGGAGGCTATGCTTATCTAAGCCGCGGAGAAGGGGGGAGAGATAGCGAGCCGCGTACCGGCACCGCATTCCACGCAAGGTGACTCTAGCACGGTGATAGAAACTTTGTTTCCCGAGCAGCACGCATCAGCACGGGAGGGGATACGCACACACTCACGCAACCGTGTCCATGAGACTCACGGACACGGTCGCGTGTGTGCGTATCCCCTCCCGTGCTGATGCGTGCTGCTCGGGAATCAAAGGGTATTTTCCAATTACTTAACACATCTTGACACACACGTATACAAAACCAGTTTATTGGTCATATATTATCTAAAATATCTTATAAGATAATATGCAACCAATAAACTGGTTTTGTGTAACACAGTGTACGCACTGGAAAGCACCCAAAGTTTCTATCACTCTGCGCATTCCTTTCACTTGTCGCGTCGTGCCTTGTTTACAGCCGGCCGATTGAAAATGCTGATCCATACAATCGTCGATAGCGTCACTTGTAGACGTCGTAGCGACTTGAAACAAGATTCATTGGAAAGGGAAAATTACTGCGCTCACGATGAATGTGGAATCGTCCTTCTGTGACAAGAGGATCATAAAGTGTAATTATGTAAGTACGAAAAATATCTGTTTTTATGTTTGCGCTAAAGGGGATTATCAAACTATATTAAAAATAATTGGGAAACCTTAGTCTGGATTTGCAATGCGAAGCGTCAGTTTAATGTTTTTGATAGGTATAAAGTGCAATTCATAAGAAAACCAGAACAGTAGTAATAAGAACTTTCTATCTATTTTTTGACGTTGCGACTAACTTGAAATAGCTAATAAATTTAACTTCGATAGCAATGTCATTAGAACTGTCTCTATTTTTATAAAAGTCGGCGTGAAAAAGACAAATTAGGTAGGTTATCTGATTAGATAACTATCGATAATTAGAGAGATAATTAGATACGGTAATTAGAGAGATAAATAATAAAAAAAGAGTATGATTATTGCTTCCATCAGTCGGGTTTTCACGCCGACTTCTAATATTATTAGACTTATAATATTAATAATTGTTGAGAGATATATAAGAATATGTGGAGTCAAAATTATATTTCATACCTTTCAGAGTTTTTGAGGTTTTTAAAGGCGGTTTATTTTTGTTAAAAAATCTTCTCACGTTTTTCTTAGAAAAAATATCTTTACAGAAACATTTTCATTACATATAAACAAACATACAGCACAAACTAAGAACCTCTTTTTTAATTGGTTAAAAATTAAAAAAATATTATGGTAAATAAAATAATATGTATAGAGATTCTAAAATTACTAAAAATAAATAATCGTTTACTTAATAAGGAATAAGAAATTCACTCAGTCACATTTAAATGATTATTTTTACTGATTAGGGATTTCTTAGCACTTTCGAAGTGGGAAACATCTTTCACTATGTATTCCTCGTTCCTTATCTCGTATAGACTAAATCATGTCTTTTTCTTTTACACTATCAATAAAAGCTTTCGTGTCGCGACATTGAAGTGATTCTAACGTTCGTCTGCCACCGAAAATACCAGTGGATGTCCTAACCTTTCTAGTCAGCAGGCCTTGACCGCCTGCAGTAAACGCTACAATATGCCCGCAACGTCATGCAAGAAATAAAACGCCGATGTAACACGCGATTGAGTTATTGCACGCGTCGTGTATTCACTGTATTTGTGAACAATAAGACCGCTGTCGGCGGCATTAATTCACATGTGATTCGTTTACGGACGGTTTATCGGTGCCTTCCCTATCGTTTCGATCGCGGCTCCTGGTTTTACGAGCAAACCCGTTTCCTTGGCTACTGCATTTAGACGACACGCTCTCGAGTCAAGAACAAATCCGCCGGATACTGCGCGAGGAAGAAGGAAGAATACTATCGCGCGAGAGAACCCGGCTCTACCGGTCCGCCAACGTTCTTGCACCCCGCTGTCGTCTTGTCGGAATTAATTGGATTAAAGTCATGCGTAAATACGGCGAAATCTCCGATTGAATTCACTACGTCGCCGGTGACGTAGTGTTTTGCGAGGGACGTTTCCGGCTTTCTCACTTTTGTGTTTTGGACGCGCGATTATGTATAAATATATATACATAAGAGTCAATGATTATAACAATTCTTTGCTAATAAAATAATTAAATTAATTAATTATTAAATTAATTGAATTAATTATTAAATTAAATTAATTAATGATCATATTAATTATATAAATTAAATTATATAAATGAATAGCTCGATTAATGTCAGTTAAATGTCTTTGTTAAGATCAGAATACTTTTTGGAACATTCGTAAAGTACTTGAGCCGAAATTTTGATTTTTCTATTAATCCTGTAAATTCTCGTCAAATATAAGGTGTAAATAAAGAATCTTGAGATATAATGAGCTATTTTTTTCAATTCTTTTTTTGAAAAATTCGCGATGGGCGATGTTGAGCGACTGTCATAGAATCGAGTAAATGATGTGAAATTCATTAAATAAACTTCGTAAATAGGTTCAAGCAACTTTAGGAACAAGCCTTGAATAGGCAACGAGAGTTTTCTGGACTTAATGAGTGGACGGATGAGAGAAATTCTCCTGTGCTAATTAATTTACGCGCAACTCGAGAATTGTATTTCCTTCTGTATAAACGGGACGGATTTTGCGGGGCTCGGAATGGGACGAAGTTGTCGGCAAAAATAAATGATGTTATTTCAATTGGGAGCGATGTAAAATATCAAGTTATCTCTCCGTGCTGTGCACGGAATATACGGGAAATACTCCATAAAAACATTGAAATAGTGATATGTACCTACGCATCCATTTCAAAACTACGAATGCATTTTCTTCTCTAAAATTAGTTTGTTTTTAATTTTGCCGAGTTAAATCGAATCACGTTCTGTAATGTGGGTCGAACCGGGGCAAAGGTCGTGTCCGATAAAATTATGAAGTTCTGAACATTAGTGAAGCGTAGATCACGTCCGAGCGAATCATAAACTTTCGTTATCGAGGATTATTAACCTTTAACGACGACGTTAAACTGCGGTCGGTGTGAGCTCGTGATAAAAAGGAAAGAAGTTTTATTTGCCAGCGGTCATTATTACGATGAAATATACGCGGGTGGCGTCGCGTCGTAAAAAGCCGCGTAAATCTGCCGCTGGCGAGCCGATCTTACGGTATTCTCCCTCTTCGATTTGTGTAACTATCACGATTATATATATACATATATTTATATATAAAGGCCAACAATTATAATATAATCTTGTTTTCTAATAACTTAAGGAAGAAACTTAATTGTAAATTAAATGAATAAATAAAGTTAACGATATGCCAGTTAAATATTTTAAAATTAATCACTCAACTTTCTTTTTTAAGATATTTTTTGGAAAAATTCGAGAAATTTTGGAAAAATTCGCAGAATATTCGAGTCGAAATTTTGGTTTTACATTAATTCTACAAATTCGTTTTATGTGAATCCTGAAAATAAAGAATTCTGAGATATAAGCTATTATTCGAAAAAAAATGCTTAAAAAATTTAGTCAACTTCCAAGATTCTTGAATGAATATCTAAGAATTATTTAATATTCTATTATTTTTCAATATTTTTTCTTTCTATTTGTATTAAAAAAAAAAATGTTGACAAATGCCGAGAGCCAACGAGATTGACAACACGCAATTCACAGTATATGCGACTTGGGACGTAACGCTTGGTCACGCAAAAAATACGCGAAAGTATCTAAATAATTGGCACCTACAAAAAAAGAACAAAGTCATCGCGCAAACGGTAACGATCGCCACCTGTGCCGCGTAACTTGTGAGTGACGCGTAATACATAAGCATTTCTAACATAAAAAGACAATAACCTATGTATAGTATGTTATATTTCGAAGATCTTTTTAATTTAAGATTGATCTTTTCAATTTAACGGAATTTACAGAGTTAACGAGAAATCAAGACTCTGGTAAACATTGAAATTTTGTGTTTTTTTTGTTCTCTAGTAGAAATCCTGCCGGAGGACGAGGGAAAGATGTGGGTAGCTACGCGAAAGCAAACGGTCGGAACAAGCGGAGGAGGATTAGAGGGGGAGGAGAGAAGGTAAGTCCACGACTCGTCAGTACGATACTCGCAAGTGTCGGAAGCGGTACGTCCGTCGTCGCGGAACAAAACTTATATTTCGAGAACGAGCATGTAGTTTTTTAACGTGTCAAGTTTTCGTCTCTTTATCGTTTCGCCTCGTCGTGTGATTTTGTCATCCGTCGACTGAAAACACAAACTGCAATGATAGTCGACGTGGTTAGTACGTCTCGTGTAACCGATCGCGTGACACACGTAACGAGTATTTTAGTGGGGAACTTGGCAATAACATTACGTAACGAAACGTGACATTAACCCTTTGCGCTATGATTAAATGAAGGAAAATTTCCTATTAAAAAAAACTGCTCATTTTGCAGTAGCAAGTTGCAACGTGTAACAATACTGTAAAAGAAAAAATATCGGAAAATGTGTAATTAACACATTGATTGCCGTATAGATTTTCGTTGATTGCACGAAAGTTTGACTGATAACTGAATTATTAAAGATGCGCTGAATAAGTGTAATTCGAATTAGCTTTTACCTCGTTTATCAAGTCTGTACACACAGAAAAATGTCATGCTAAGAGAAATAATCAATCAGTTTACTTTCCTTCTTTTATATAACGGTTATTTTCAATAAAGAATATTTTCTTGATAATAATCTCGAAATATATATTGAAAAAAAATATTTGGAAGATTATTCGTGGGATATTAAGTTTACTTATGTGAAATAGAGTTTGTTTCAGTGAATCAACTTTATATCTCGCAAATAAATCTCCAAGTATTTTTTCTCAATGTACTCGTAATAAATTTGAGAAAAGATCATGTGCTCCAAAAAAGAGTTTATTTTCAAAATGATAAATAATATTTAGAAAAATACTAAGAAACTTTATCGAAGGAAAAGTTGATTCAATTCTCATCTTGATTCGATTTTGATTTTTATTTGATATTCTTAAATGAAATCAAACTGCATAAACTAGTTAGGATTCAGGACGTATTTTGTATAAACTTGATGTTTATGATAAACTTGTAATAGATCTACGCATATACAAACTTATGAAATACTTGAAAGTAACATACTTTCATATATTTTATACTTGAAGTTAATGTTTCATATTTGAAAGTAAAATACTTGAAGTAACATTTATTCGAATGCAGTATACATTTTTCTATGTGTATAGCAGCCATATAACCCATTTTTCAAATGTAATTTATTATGCTTTATGCGCAGCTTAATGAGACGCGATAATATCACAGCGCCGTTCACCGGTGGTTGTTGTCATGGCACTCGGCGTGTTAATTTTGAAGAGAAAGGCTCGCTGGATATAAAAGACGCTAAAAACAATAAAGAAAGATACAAATAGTACAAAAATCCACGTTCCACTGAATTTATTTGTTCGCCGGCAGTGCGCGTCATTATTTTTTATCCTGTCTTCGAAAACGAGTGGGACTTGTTATTTCAACGCAAACGGTTAACAAACAAAGTATCAACGGGTAATGTTTGGGAGCAGCTAAAACAATCGGCTGTGGAAAGTTACGCCGCAATACTAGACACGAGTGTTTATTTCGCCGCGTACCGGAAGGTTAGGCGAGGAGACGCGGCGCAGTTGTGTTTACACGCCGCGCGAGAGCGGACGTCGACCGTACGTAACCTAAATTCGCAACCGTCATTCTCTCCCTTTCTCACTTTTCACGTTGCCGTCTCGACAATGTGATTGTTTCGCTGGGACACCGCGCGAATTTTTCCACGCCTCGCCTTCTCCGTATATCAATTTATATCAATCCGCGTTCACTCGGGTCGCGCGGGAAAGCGGTCACGTGGTTGGTCGGGGGAAGGTGTCATGTGATCGCGAACTACTTCAGTCGTCTCCCGCCATTTCGCGCCGGGTCGCCGCGGAATCGCGTCCGCTCCGCGTTTCTCGCATCGTCGGCCTGTGAAAAAGTGAATATTGCGCGTAGAGTGCCGGGAGTGCCGTTTCGACGACGAGCGATCGTCCGGGAGTTGAATCAACCTGCGCGAGTGTGGTGGTATCGTGATATTTACGACCTCGGCGTCGATCGCGTCGTGTCGCGTCGCGTCGCGTCGCGTTGCTGCTATACATTTCGCGACGTTTTCTCGCACGACGAGTGTTTAGAGAATCGTCTCAGTGACGAGTTCGCAGCACGTCGTGAACGAGTTTGGTTCACTCGCGACGCTTAGCTAAGGAACAAACAGTGTTCGTGTTCGCCATCTTGACCCGCGTTACCCCGCGAAGTTTGCACCGGGCGGAAGCGCGTCGCACCGCCGCTAGAAGCGTCGCGGGTGTCGAAGTGCGCGGATTGGAATTATCGTTTCTCACGTTGTTTGTTCGTGGATAAGCAGCCGTCGAGAGAGTCCCGCACCAGGACGGCGACCGACATCGTCTCGGTGAGTCGTCTCGATTCTGAATGGTTGAGTTGACGATATAATTTGACGACGCGGACGCGCGCAATAAACGCCGCATTGAAGCAAAAACTAACTTTATTGTTGTTCGGGTGGGGGATGGATGATCCTAGTAAAATTATTAGAAAAATAGCTCAATTTTTGACCATGACTCGATCATTTCCCAAGTAGAACAGACAATCACGATGACGTCAAAATGAACTGATTGTTAAAACTCATTATTCAGTCTTTCAGATTATGATTCAGTCCTTTCCTCGTTTCTTTGACATTATCTTGACGTTATCGCGATTTTCTGTTCTACCTGGGTGTCGTGTTTTATTCAGTTGCGAGCGAACATTGCTTTCTTAGAGCGAGTCAGTTTAAACGTTTCCTATTGAATCAGTGAAAGGAGTATTTCATCGGTAATCGGTATTTATTCGTAATCGTCAATACTCACTGATTGTCAGTGAAACTCTTGTACAATCAAGAAAAATCAACGCGGCAATTAACGCGTTAATTACATTATAATTTACCAGACAAGTTTTCGGATATCTTTTCTTCTCTGCAGAATTATCACACGTAACAATACTATAAAATTAACAGTTTTTCTGCAGGATAAAAAACATTTTATATCTGTGTTGAAATCGATCCGTGTAGAAAAATTCTTACGTTAAATTTTTAACATACCCGTGTGGTAATTTAACATATTGTCGTTGCGTTATTTCTACGTGGAGCTCTTATTCACCATTTCTAAGATAACACAATAGCGTTCAAGTATTATATTTTGTATTAATTTTCGTTGTAAAATTCGTTATACTCTGTATCAATTTTCTGGCTATAAAATTAATGACTTCTATACAATTTACACGTAATGGCATTATATTTGCAATCAGCATCGCGATAATGGAAACAGTCGTTAATATTAACTAATCCTTCCAGCAAAACTTTTCTGACTGCAATGCTATACTTTTAAATGAGCCATCAGTTACAAGTGAAGCATCTCGGTGAAGAATGCACTCGGAAAGCCGTTTTCATATGTCCACCCTGTCTGAAATCGCGCTCAATGCAATTTCAATTTCTGTTACAGAATGACCGTCGATTGTCGTGGTGAAATATTTGTGCGCGATCGGCCGCGTGTCCCATGTGGACGACTATCTGAAGCAATGGCCGGCAGCGATCAGGAGCTGAAAGGAGCAACATAGCCAACAGTGACCGGCAGTTGAAAGCGGGAACAGCGCCAGTGACTGCGCATCGGTCGGTGAGTGAATGCACTTATTTTCTATAGAACGTTATACTTGTGCGACTGACGTTGATCTACGCGCGACTACTCTCGATCGTCGCGTCGCATTCGTTTCATTCCACGCATGATCTCGTCCATGTAAGATGCTACACGCGAAGCTGTGGTACAGTAAACTCACACTGAGAAAAAGGCACATTTGAACATTTATATTTGTGAGATATAATATTTATCCGCAGAGATGAGCTCCATTTCACAGAAATTGACTATGTGCTCCGCAAATAAATTTTCCAGTGTTTTCTCTCAGTGCGACGTCCGACGAGAATCGTGCTGAGATTACTTGGGAATTATTCTGTCGGAAATTCGGATAAGATAATCACAGGCTTTTTTTTACGGGAATATGTCGCTATTAGCAAAGTCATCGTTACAGATGATATTAAGAGAAAACAGGCGTCTGGCATCAAGTCAGACTAAACTAGGTTAAGCACTCGTCGGAAAGAGATGCGATTAAGTAGGCCGACATTTTTAACTCGAGTGTCTCGAAGCACGAATCAAGAGCAATAATGAGCGTTCCTCATTAAGAGAAGACGTGCGTCCCGACGTGAATGCATGCGAGACGATCTCGAATCAATTTTCCGCAAAATTTAATCAACTCGCTTCGCTGCGCCGAGCCGCACGAAACGAGTATTCCTACGATCGCGCGATAAGAAGATTGGATTTCTTGTCGCGTCGCGTTTTTCGTGGGCGCGTTACATGGTCATTATTTAAAGCGACTAGTCATGCACCGCGGTTCAGTGCACTCCACGAGTGATAAGCGACGTGAGCGCACACGTGTGTTATCGGGCGATTTCGCTGATCGGCATTTGTCAAGAGCGAGCGGCAATACATTTTCCGTCGCGTTGAAATCTAAAAATTCGAGAACCAGCCGCGGTGCTTGAAACATCCCTCTTTTTATTCTCATTATCGCGTTCCGTATCGCGTTATCTTCCGTGTCGTATCCGTGGCGGTAAGTTTTGTACGTTGAGTTTGCTGCGTGTTTATTAGTTTATAATCGCTCATTTTACTCATTAACTGATGGGTAATATTTACCACCACGTATGTTCAATTATTCATGATGTAATTAACGATACTTGACGATTCGCGTGTAAGCAATTTTGGAGTATTTCGGCCGTACAATTCACTTTAATAACAAATTCGTCGGTCACCTTTTATATTGTTTTTCGAAGGGAAAATCATCTTCGTTACCGTTCACGAATTTTTTGTCGGAAACAACATCGCAAATTTTCCGTGGACGTGCTGCAGAAAGTTTCAAGATTTCATCTCGGGACTCGCGTGAATCAAGGATTCGTTTCGTTATATCGCACGCTCACGTTTCGACCTGAGAACGTTTACGGTTTCCAAAAGGCGTTCGCCCTCACGGCAGCCGCGATTACTCAAGCGACTTTACGACGGCAATAATATGCGCTGCACATACGATTGATCGGACACGATTAAGATTCTTCCAACGGCGTATCTTGTTATCGCAGAACTCGCCGTCGCCACTTGAGTCTCATAGCTACATTATCGTAATTAGCAACGGTTTGTACATGTCGGGTAATACCAAAGAAACCTCGGCTATTAGGGAATACTATTTGGTTTTTGGAAGATAAATCGGGGATTATCCAAGAAAACTGAGATTAGTTTTCGTTGAGTTGCAATGCCAAGTATTTCTTTCTCAGTGTACTAAACTGGTTTTTCGTAGGTTAGCTTAGGTCAAACAGCTAATAGTTCCACTGCTATCCGGTTGACTGCGGCATTTGGCAGCCTAGAAATCGTAATATTCCTTATTATCCGACTACTTGGTATCCAAAGTTCTTTTGTTTCCGCGCGTAGTGAATTGCTCTACGCGCGTTTTCGGCGCGAACGGCTTCGTGTGACTTTCTCGTGTGTTCCATATTATTATGGCTAATAATCATGACGGCGATACTTTTAGAACGTACTCGGGCGAGATTCACGCTCGTGTCTTCGTCGTGTATCGCGCTCACGACTTTACGGCCCATTGATGAATCGCCGACACGGATACTTCAGGATCTCGACACAACGATCGCGTGTTAAAACACCGTACGACGCCGCTGTACGCGCGCGCGGCGTTTCACGTCTCATTTGCATACGCAGAAAAAGACACGGAAGTGCACCGTGAAAGAGTTCAACGGGCTACCGCGATGCGGGGAGGAGGATCGATCTTCGCCGGCCGCGTTTAATTTTTTAAGCTAATCAGGCACGCCAGCGCACGCGTAAGAGCGAGAAGAATCGTCGTGCCGTTAAATACCCGCAATGACGGTCGCGCGTTACGTACTAAAAAATGAATGAAAGTAGCGGACTGTTGTGCGCCGTTAAAATTCGATTTGCACACGCTCCAGATACTGCGCGCGCTCTTCGCGCGTTGCTGCACTGCGCTCGAACGGAAACGAGTACCGAGTTCATAACTCATGATTCGTTCGCAAATAGGCTCTCATGTAGCCACGGCGAGTCTTATAAATCGCGTGTACACACGACGCGAGTCCGCAATTTACTGCGGTTTAGCCGGAGTATGAAAACGTACTTAGAATGGGGCAGGAGGGGGGAGTCAACCTTATAAATCGAGTACTCGCCTGCACTTGTGCCCCGCGTCTTACCGTGTAATTTACGAAGCGGCATTAGATCGGCTTTTATATTGTCGCTTTACCGCGCATCCACTCTCTTCGTCTCTCTTTCCGCGTTTTTCTGTTGTTTCTTCTTCTTTTTCTTCTCGGGACTCGTTCGTAACACGTCTCGAGTAAGTTCGCCGGGTGCGAATTGAAGTTTAAACCATCATATCTCGTGCCTGAATCCCTCGTCATTTCCACCTCGTGTATTTTTAGCGCGGCACACATATGCGATCGCGAGAGAGTATCGCGCGAGAACGGGAGTGGTGGAATGAGCAGGAGAGGAGAGAAATGAACAAGATGCAGCCTCTCTCCTTCCGCTCTCTTCTCTTCCTCTCTCTTTCTTTCACGCACGTGGATCCCTCCCACCCTTCTTATTTATGGACTTGATATTTCATATTTAACCCCTTAGCCTCCGCGCGAGAGCTCGGCGTGCCTCGATCGATCAAGATTAAGCCTTCCAGTCGTGAACTTTAATTTACGAACGCGTTCGCGTGTGTGTATCCCCGCGCCCGCTCGGGGATTCCGTTACCTTCGTCACCGTTTCGCAAAATATCCCGCTGCGTGTGCTCGACGTCATCGTCCCGCTCTGTCCGAGCGCAAACGCGGCAACTTATGTAAGTGCACTTTCGGGACTTAATCTGCTTTTAGGCGTCGTGGTGAAAACCAAGGTCGACAGTAATGGCGCTTACTTTGTCACGCGAATTTCGCCACGTTTTCGTGGCCCCTGTCTCGCTCCTTTTTCTCTTAATTCCTTCGTTATTTCGTTCATCTCTCCCTTTGCCTATGCATGGTTATTTTCGTGATACTATTACGGTTCCCTGTAATTTGCGGCACCGCGTAGACGCCACGTGTCTTGTAATTGACAACCGATCTTTTAACGCGGTGCAATTGATACGTTGGGTACACGCGATGTCATAAATTGACGTCACTTTTTAATAGAATGTTCAATGCAATCCATACACACAGAAAAATATTCTAAGAGAAGCTAAGAGAAGTGATTACTCAATTTACTTTCTTTCTGTTGAGTAATAGTAGTTATCTCCAACAAAGAATATATTTTCTTAGATATTAGTTTTAAAATACACTAATCGTGAATTTAGGAAAGGTCATTATCATTTACTTAAAAAATACATTTATTCTCTTTACAAAAATATTATGAAATTTTATTGAAGAAAAAGTTGTTTCTGTTGACTGTGTGTGTGGTAGAAAACGGAATTTTTCTTTTAATTTAATATATTATTCAATATTCATTTATTTTATTATACGGGATAATTCACCCCTTTTGTACGTAAACTTATATTTTCGTATCTTACTAGAATTTAAAATATATTTTAAATAAATTTGTTGCTTATGGTGAACTTATGATAAATTCATAGATAAACTTGTGAAATACTTGGAACAAGTAACTGCATTTACTTGAATGCAGGATGTATTTATCTGCGTGTATCCTTCACGATTATTTAATTTTTATGACGTCTGTTTATCATTATTTTATGATTTTATATCACAAGAAATAGAAGAATATGTTATCCATATTTGTACGATTATGTTTAAATTTCAATATTTGTTTTCCTTCGAAACTCTTGAAAAATTGATATAACGAAACTGATATAATTCCTTCCTACAAAAAGACTTCGGAAGATTTTCTCACGGCTTGTTTTCCTGGACATATAATCGACAGAATAATTCTTACACGACGTCTGTCGATCAAGTAACCCGACGTGTCCCGAGGCGAACAAATGATACTTGCGTCTATCAATAACGAGTGTAGATCGATATTGGCCGGGCAGTGCACGATCTAGCCTCGCATTCCTCGGGATTGGCCGGGACATTAATCAAAGCGTACGCGGTTGACCTTATTTAGCGGAGACACCGGCGCGTTGGCGCCGGCGGTCTCACACGCGCGAAACTTCGATGTCCTCGAGAGTGCATTCGCCAATTCGCCGCTTATACCTACGTTGTCGCCTCGACCTAGAAGTGAAAGTATCCTTATCGAGACACACGCCTATCCTCCGAGAGCCTGTCGCAAGCGCAGGTGCCGCCGCGAAGCGTCGTTAGAATTTTTCGAACTAGAAGACCTCTGAGCATTCTTTATCGACATGTTCACGACGTTACATACGCTACTTTAAGGGCGAACATGTATACTTAAAAATCGACAAAACGTGCGCACTGGGGCGTTTTCCCGCGGGGCGAGTCCGCTTTCACCGCTTTATTTGTCGTGGACATCGCGATTTTTGTCGCTAACATATAATCTACGATATTATAGATAATGTTGCATCGTGCGGGGCGAACGGTAATTATAACTCGAGATGATTTAGATATTGGACATCAGATTTATAGATAGCTCGACGATCG